GACATTTCTGACATATAACAAAATACACGTTAATGTGGGATGCACGATTTAAAAAAAAAGAAAAAAAAAGTCTAATTGCAATTTTGTCATATTCTGTGAGTGCAATTTGAAATTTTTTTTTTTTTTTTATTATTGTTGTTGTTATATATTAGTGTGAACTGTTACAAATTAAGACAGCAGAATATTGCCATTGTATAAATAAAAAAAATAAAAATTTAATTAAAAAAATAAAAATAAAATTAAATATAAAAAAATAAATAAAACAAAACAAAAAAACAGGGTTCCCTGGGATTTCAGGTTGTAAAAAAAATACTAATGCTAAATTCAACACGAAGAAAAAAATAACTAAGGATTAGGGCTGGGTGATATGGCAAAAAATTAAAATCTCGATTTTCTCAGAACGTTTGACCGATTTTCGATTTTTACGATTTCTAACTAGTCAACTTGAAAATGTGACTACAGCATGATTCAAGTAACTTCTTTATTAACCCTCTAGTTAAATAAAATTCTATTCCAAGTTCACCACACACGTTGTCAACATGATGTAAATGTTAAACAAATCACTTGTTAAATGTCTTTGCAGAAAATCCATGCATGAACTACAGTTACTTCTTGTACAAACTTATATGTTCAGAAATAATATGAGGAAAATGCTTCAAAAAAATTACTATATACCTTCAATATAACAACGGTAGACTATTATTAGCTTTAAATGTTGCAGCTTTAGCATCCTGTCACCATGATGCAAACATGAAATATCAGACATACAGTAGTAGTTCTTTACAGGTTTTTTATTAGATTGCGCTGCTTTTCCCTTGTTTTTTCTATGTAAACATGGACTGTTTGACTGTTGCATGCATGCACTTTCTCATCCTGTTTTAATTATGTGCAAAACAAGCACGTGTTGTGCGATTCATGAGGTTGGGTTGCAGTATTTATTTGAGATGTGGTGTCTCTGTGGCAGTACTCTCTGAAGCTGGAGAAGGGCGACTACGCTGTGCGTCTGCAGGTGCGTCACGAGCAGCAGAGCGAGCTGGAGCGTCTGAAGGACCTGCCGTTCCTTGTGTCTCACCGGCTCTCCAGCACGCTCTCGCTGGACGTCTACGAGACGCACCGCGCTGCCATGCTGGCCAAGAAGAAGGCCAACTCCATCACACTGAGCCCCGGTGCGTCGCAGCCCTTCTACATCACAGCCCTGCCCGACGACAAGTGAGTGTCCCTACAGACCAGTGCTGGGGAAAGTTACTTTTAAAGGAGACCTATTATGCTCCTTTTTACAATATGTAATATAAGTTTTTTTCATGATATGTCACCTTTAAAAGTAATGCAGTACAATACTGCGTTACTCCCTTAAAAAAAGTAACTAATTGCATTACTTAGTTACTTTTTATGGAAAGTAATGCTTTACGTTACTTTTGAGTTACTTTTTAAATCTGGGCAGGGTTTGCTTGTTTGTTTTTAATGTAAAAAGTTATTTTACAACAAAAGTGAAATGAATCCGCCTCAGGCTGAAGGAAATGTAAATTCACGTCTGTACAGTAGAGGGCGCAGCTCAAACTAATCACATGAAGAATATAATGCAGGAGAAGAAAGTTCGGCACTATTCAGCAATAACTAAAATAAAACACAAATGTGTCAATTTAGCTTATTAGTATGATTGAATTGGATCATCGAAGGTCAGAAGCAAAGACATTGGTTAATAAAATGGGATTAAATACATAAATGATATTTGTCTTTTTTAACATTTAATTATTAAAGGTTTGTATAATATTCTGAGTTTGCATTTGACTGTTTTTATTCATTTTGAGGAACACTGAATGTGTTTGTGTGCAGTGAGATGAGTAAACGCATGTTGATATTTAGTCTAGAACTACAGTAAGATCATGTTCACACACAACGCTCTGCACTTACTCCTGATTTCTGTCACCATGGCAACACCAGAGCTGTCACTCAACACATGGAAACAAAGTAACTGTCGTTACTTATTTGAAAAAGTAACTCCGATATTTCCTTCTAAAATTAAAAGTAATGTTACTTTACTAGTTACTTAAAAAAAGTAATCTGATTACGTAAATTGCGTTATCAGAATATTTAAAGCTGTTTTCGAGCAGCCGCTGATCCAGAGAGAGCAGCGCTCGTAGTGTAAGCTTTATGTTTGAAGCAGCTTCACAAACAGGCTACATTTCTGTGTTGTAAACATTAAGTAATAACAAAAGTATTGGGATAAAGGTTTATAGTCCTGATATAGACTCTGACGTTGCGGCAGTCGCGATCAAAACGAGTAACTGACCTTTGGAACTAATGTTACGCTTCAAATAAAGATTGCATATTATTTTGTTGTCTAATGTTTTGTTTTCAGATTCGTGGGAGAACCGTGATCTCAATTCTAAAAATCAATTATCCAGAGTCATACCTTAAAACATAGCTACATAATATATCTGCCATCTAACTAATACTATTAGTGCTGTTTCTGATGTTAAAATGTAGCTCTGCAGAAAACCCTTTTGGTTCGTGCCGCGGTCCATGCGTCCAGCCGCCGCTGCTGTTGAGCCGTGAGCCGTCAGAAGATGCAGACGTTTGTCTTTGTGTTTCAGGATCCCTAAAGGTGCCGGACCCGGCGGCTACATCACCGGCTCGCTGGTTCTGCCCAAGAGTGAGTTCGGCAAAAAAGCTGTGAGTCGCCAGTCTCTTCAAACACAGGGTTGATTCAGCTCATCTGTAGGTCTGCATGCTGCTTTGTGATTATATAGCTCAGTCTCTCTCACATGTAGGGGTGTGCAATATTGACACAAAATTATTGATGAATCATTTTCTGGGATTTTGCTTATAATGATAAGCCGAGTGTGTTTTTATGCTGGTGCAGGTCTGTCATGTCAGCTGACTCTCAAAGCTTTTTATATTCAGTGGCAGAAATTAACTTTTTCAATAAGGCCACCTTAAATTGATTTCCAGTGGCATTTTTTACCTTTATAAGGGCATTTTTAACCTTTAATTTAGATGTGTATGTTAAATTCTTCCATTTATGCAATCAATTCAATTAGAATAAGACGCTATAAGCTGTTACCAATCAAATAAATCATAATCAAGAAAAGCCATTTTTTTGCACTGTAGAAACTGCAGTTTTTAGGAACATTTACACTGTAATTACAATTGCATAAATTAGATTAATGTTCTAAAAATAAGATTTTGAATATTGAATGTTATTTTTAAATAAAATGATACTTTTAAATATGAAGTATGCAACTAGTCACTGTCTTAATGAGTGAGTCATTGAATCATTCACTCAAAAGATTCATACAAATGGCTGATTCCTTCATGAACAGAATAGGCTTGTTTGCGGTTCAGACAACTGTGATGCTGCGGTTCTCTTCTAAAATGTTTTATTTTTATCTGATTTCATATGATTATGTATTTAAATTATGCATGAATGTTCCCAAACACTATGACAGCGCGATCTCTGTGTGAGATAATGTGATTGTTGTCATATTTCTATAAAAATCAAAAGTACATGTTTGTATTAAAGTAAAAATGGATGATAAATACACCTTTCGTATGGAATTAAATGGCAAGCACTTTGAGTGTCTTGTTCATCATATTTATTTTCATATAAAAGCAACAGAACTGAAATTATATCATGTTTATTAGCAACACAGCACGTGAGTGAGAATAACGCGATATCTGCCTTTGATCTCGTTGGTATCTGTTCACTTCTAGAGGTCAGAACTGTCCTTCTTGCCTGCGCTTATTTCACTCCTCCCCTCACTGCAGCCGCCTACTCTCACCTTCATTTCAGGCAAGGCAAGGTGCATCTCAAACAAGCCTATTGTCTTAATGAGTGAGTCATTGAATCATTCACTCAACCAATTTGCACAAACGGCTGATTCCTTCATGAATGAAGCAAATGACTCTCTTAAAGAGTGAATCATTGAATCATTCACTCAGCCGATTCGAATAAATGGCTGATTCATTCATGAACAAAGCAAGTGGCTGTCTTTATAAATGGATAATTGATTTGTTCCAAAACACTGATTTATTGTAACTCACGATATTACCTTCTTGTTTACTGAACTGTTACATAAATTCAGTATCACATCTGCAAGCATGCAGATATTGCTCATGTGATAGTTATCATATAGAAATCTAAACATTTTTGCCCATGTATTGAATTTCTTGTTCATTCTAACTGCAGTCTGCTAGTCCATATCACGCAATGAAAGTGTGGACTATCAAGACCTGTTTTGTTTTTTTGCAAAGTGATTGAGAGACTTGATCATCCTGTACTTGTGCACCTTACAGTGAATCATGATGATGATGTGAAGGAGTAGAGAGCAGAGGATAGAGAGGACAGAGAGCGTGTGTGTGTGTGTGTGTGTGTGTGTGAGATTCTCTCTCTGATGTGTGTTATTCTGACCAGCAGGGACAAGCTTCAGCCAAACGACAAGGAAAATTTAAAAAGGTACTGGACGGATAGAGAAAGAACAGAACTTCTGCTTTTTAATGTATTTATATTGCAGGGGCCCGATTAAATGAGCCATTTAATAACACTATTATGTGAATGATACAAACCCTAAATTCACACTCACACACACTAGTGCTGGGCAGCATGACCAATACATTGTTTTTGCTGGAAATCCAACCAAAAGATGGTTTGTATATTCAGTAAACACATGTTATTGTCTGTTTTTGATAAACTAGTGATAATCAAGTTATTTATCTTCTGTTATCATTCATAACATTTAGGTTCACATCAGTGACTCATTTGAATTGTCATCACTCTCAATAATGTAAATCAGTGCTTCTCAATAAGTATGTCTTGGCAAATTTCCAAAGGGTCCCCAGGATGATTTAAAAGTTTTCAAACGAATAATTTAATATATTAAAATAATCTAAAATGAAAGATAATCTAAATTAAAATGCCTAAAAACAAAACAAAAAAACAAAACACAAAAAGTCATGTTTCTTATTTCCCCCAAAACTGTAGAATATTAATATATTACACTAATAATAATAATAATGTCATGTTAAATTTTGATTTAATAATATTAATAAGTATTATTATTATTATTCCAAAATTGTGGAATTGTAATATTATTAAAATGAATAGTAATAATAAAAAATATATTTTTCTTTGCTTTTTATATTTATATATTTTTGGGAGCCCTTTAAATATTGTTGTTGGACAGTTGGGATCTTCGAGTTGAAAATGTTAATCAGAACCACTGATGTAAATAACAAACATAACTGTCCACTAATCTACAAGTAGAATATATATATCATCATACTGCCCAGCCCTCTCTCACTCACTCACTCACTCACACACTCTCTCACTCACACACTCACTCACTCACTCACTCACTCACACACTTACTCACTCCTCACTCACTCACTCACACTCACTCACTCACTCACTCACTCACTCACTCTCTCATACTTACTCACTCACTCTCTCACACTTACTCACTCTCTCACACTCACTCACATACACACGCTCATTCACTCACTCACTCACACACGCTTGCTCGCTCGCTCGCTCTCACT